CCCAAATCCCAAACCAAAACAAAACCGCGAAAGGAAAAAAAGAAAGTATAACGGTGCCGAATTCCCGGACTCGTCGCACCAAGGAGGCACACTTTTTTTTTTTAGAAAAAAAAAGAAGAAACAAGAAAAAAAACTCTTCTTACGTATCCTCGTGAACCCGATAAAGCTCTTGTATTGTGGAAAGGGAAAGGGAAAGGAAGCGAAGGAAGGGTAGGAAGGATGTACCGGAGATGATGCTCCGGCCTTGTGAAACTCTAATTTTGGAATATGGGATTGAAAGTGGCATCTGATCTGTCCGGAGCTGAAATACGGAATGCTAGCTGTAGTTGTTGTAGTTGTAGAATGCTAGGTTGGATATCCATCCTCGGTCCGGTGGCCATTTTGGTACTTGGAAGCTGGATGAGTGTGGTGTATGTGTGTATGTGTATATAGAAAAACATAGTTTGTGTATGTACTTGTGTATGTGTCTATGTATGTATGTACCTATGTATATGTCTTTTGAGCCAGATAAGCACTCGCCTATGAATGACGCCCAGAGTCCGGACGCCGAAGAGATATCGCGAGTCGCGCACCGGAAAGTGCGACGTGCAACAAAAGATGCAAGTGTTGCTTGCATGCTTGCATTCTTATATGCTTATCTGGCAGGAGGATTTGGCTGGCAAGGGTTGGGTTGAGTCACTGCTAAGTTACGGAGTTGTACCTACGGTATTGTACTGTGTTGAGATGCTAGTAATTAGTACAGCTATCATTTCCAGATCCTCTTCGGCCTCTTTTCTCTTTTTAGCTAGAGGGCGCTATTGTTGAATAAGTGAGACGGCATCAGAGAGGGATCTATCTATCTATCTCTGCCTTCTTTCTTACTGGACGGTTGGTTGCGTTGGTTGGGTTGTTGAGAATGCATCTATTCGCATGACTCGTACCTTTGCGGAGGACGGAGGTTGGGCGGGAGGGAAGTGAAATGTGCTGACTCGAGACGTGGATGCCTGTTCATTCATTCATTCATTCAGGCCGAAAAAAAGGGGAAATTGATATAACATCGTCTAAGCTAGATTATTGATTAATCTATACTTTTTTCGTTTTTTCGTTTGCTTATATACGGGACACTCTCTTCCGGATGATTGTTTCCAATGCCTCGAAGAAAGTCGAGCCGTGTCCCGCATGCCTAACTAATTAGCCACCTAAATATTGCCTGCCGCTTTGTGCAAGCCCTTGTCTTCGGTAAAGGAGAAGTGAGGTTATTCCCGTAGCTAATTTGTTAGCGGAATGGAAATACACGAAAGTTTGAGGAATGGATTACAAACGGGTTGAGAGAATAGAAAATATTTAATACTATGAAGCTGACCCTTTCTTAGCAAGATAGTTACCGTTTCTTTTATCATGGCTAATCTGGCCATAAAGGTTAAGGTACGGAATACATCGCCAACCTTAAAAGGGAAGAGGCTTTTCTGAAGCAGCGTAGAGAGTGGGATCATATCTGCGCTGAAACCGAGATCTCTAAATTTATTGTCGATAGTTGCAAGCTGCGCGTTCCATTGAGCGTTAGTTGTAAGGGTCGAGGCCATTTCGCAATTATTGAGATTGAGTGGCGACCAGAATAAGTGGGTATGTCGGACTCTACGAAGTGCTCTCCCCTCCTCTAATTAGTCACGCATTAAGGACAATTTTTTTTTTTACATTAGAGCTGCAGTCAAGTCAAGGCGTTGAGGTACCGGTATGCGGTACACGCCTCCACCATGTTCGAGGCATTGAAAACAATCGACCGTCTGGTCTCGATGCATCCATTCATTATTAATTGATTGATGATCATCGGCAGGTTTAAAAAAGAGACTCCACACGTACCCAGCTACCTCACCCACCCAGGTCGCGCTCCCGAACCTGCTGGGCAAATGAATAGATACATGCATGAGGAAGTCTTTCGTTTTGTTGCAAGTCGCACTTTAGAGGAGCCGAGTCAGTACCTGTCGAGCATCGTACTTTTTTCTTGGTTTTGTTCTTCTTTTCAATTTGATATTGGCTAGTGGGTTGAAGGATCAACATCTTCACAATGTGACTCTTCCTATCCGCCCCCCCTCCACCCCCTGCCCTGCCCGCTGAAGAATAGGATCAGTCAATCTGATGCAGAGAGAGACGGGCCGAGAGAGACAGAGAGACAGAGAGATAGCTGGCTGAATCGCGCCATGATGCCGATGTGCAACAAAGACTTCCCGAAGCGCTCATATGTCCGCAATATGTTCCAGTTTGATATGTAGTTGTATAAACGTGGGAGAGAAGCATGAAATATCGGACCACCCGTATAGATCTTTCGTACATGTGTCTTGAGTATTTCTTCTTTTGCTGGCTTTGACTCAGCCCCACGTTCTAGGATCTAGCTCTTCTCTTTCTTCCGTAGATACTGCATTCCCAGCCGAAGGCGAAAGGAAATTTGCAGCCGAAAGCGAAAAGAGCTGAATCGCGGCCCAGATGTCGACATGCAACAAAAGACAAATTGCAAACCATTCGTTCCCAAGTCGAGTTGTCCAGATTGGTCCAGGTCCGGCTTCAGGTCTAGGTAGATCTCTCTTTCTCTAGGTACTGCATTTGCAGCCGAAGGCAAGAGGTATTTGCAGCCGAAAGCGAAAGAGAGCTGAATCGCGGACCAGATGTCGATATGCAACAAAAGACAAATTGCAAACCACTCGTTCCCAAGTCGAGTTGTCCAGATAGGTCCCGGTCTGGCTTCAGGTCCCTCCCTCTCTTCCTTCGAGTTCGCTCTTGAAGGATAACGGAGAAAGGGGCTAAAGAGAGCGGGTCAACAAGACCTCTCAAGACCTCAAGAAAATATCCCTATCCACCACCACCACCACCACCAACAACAACAACAACAACAATCGTAGAAGTGATCATGAATGATATTGGCCTCGGTAGGGATCCACCAGGGCCTCTCCACCCACCACCACCACCATTTCCATACCGCAAAGGGAAAAAAACGCTGAGTCGCGGCCAAAACATCGACGTGCAACAAAAAAACCTTACGAGATGGTCGATTGGTCATTCCCCCCTTGACGATCGGAGAGTCGTGAACAGAGTTGGTGATGAGGTTGCTCCCGGAGTCCCGGCCTCACTTTAAGCTTTTGACGAGAGTTACTGCCCAGAGTCCGGCCGAGAGCCCGGTCAGACGCCGGCCCAGACCCGGAGAGGTGCGGCTTCTCCTTGCCAATTCGATCCTGAGATAGGGTACGGTAAATCCATCCATCCATCTCATCTAAACCTGGTGGTGAGAAGGGATAGAAACCGACTCGTGATTTGCCGCCCGAGTCCGCGGCAGGGTGTTTTCGACGTTGCGTCCCAACAAACAAATGCGGACGTCGACTGGATAGGTAGGTAGGTAGCTGAGTATCATCGCCATGTGAAATATTCTTATCGAATTGTTGTACATATGCAAAATACACTCCGTATGCTGTTTCAATTTCCCCATCCCTGCTTTGTTGCCTCCCAGCCACTCAACCCCCCTTGCTTGCTCGCTCTCTCGACTCGTCTCGACCGCCGCTGAGTCGCGACGCCAAATGTCGACGTGCAACAAAAAGACGAGTTTCTCATCCTTCATCCTACGATCTCCGCTTCGATTTGTCGATCCGGAATCTGCGTTTCTTGGAAAAGTGGATGTTGGTTGGCCTTGACTCTCGACTTTCTCGAGGGAGGCGGCCATCCTGAACGCTAGCGCCTAGGTACTACCTACTAGTCAGGATTCTGCCCTGCTCTGCCCTACCATGGTTTTGCTTCGTTTTCGGGCTTGAAGTTCCTGTCCTATGTTGAGTGAAAGGCGGCCGAAGAACACGCTCTTTTTCCTCAAGTCCTCTCCTATCCTCTCCTATCCTCTCCGTATGAGTACGAATGGTATTGCGAAATGCACATCGGTATGCAAATTCACGGATAGACGTTGCCGATTCTAGCTTGGCAACGGGGCAGATGTGCAACAAAAAAACAAGGAGGAGAGCCTTCGGAGATCCAGGAACAGAGTTTCAAGCCCCCACTCCTCGGCCCATTGAGCGATGTGCAACAAACGTGGAGGCTGTGTGGAGCCTGGGCACAGGATGTCGGCATAGGGCGTAAGTTGACTCGAGTCACGAAGGCTGTTGCGGTGGAAATTTGTCTCTTTAAAATAGCAGAGCAGACTCAGACGTTTGTTCATCCAGTCGCTTGGGTATGGAGCACGTCATTCTGCATAGAGAAATACTCTTGGATATTCATCCAATGCTTCCAAAAGCATAGCCAGTCCCCGAGTACCATCTCTATTCTCTACTTACACGCCAGCGTTGTCCCTCCTGGAGAGGACCTCCTGCCATGGCGACCGACCAGACAGCTCTTCTATCAACATTGTGTACGACTGGTCGACGCTCACGCCCGCTTCAGCTTTGACCTGTACCTCCTAAGCTACGTCACCTCATCCGACCCAACAGCAAGGACAACTCACCTCGATCAAGCTCTCTCGGTACAGATCCACAACCATGCTGTCCCGCTGCTCGTAGTCGGAATATCTCTTGTCAAACAGCTCAACGCTGTCGTCTCCTCGCTTGCGCTCGAGATACCGAGCCCGCGCAATCTCCCTCGGACACGAGATCAAGAGAGTCAAGTCCGGTGTCGTGTGGGTCTGGCGAGCGTGAGCGAGGAGCGTATGTCCAACGCCGCCCCAATAGGGGAAATTCAAAAAGCAGGGAGAGAGGGGGGTTGTGGGAGCGAGGCACTCACGGCAAACTCGGCCTTCATCATTTCCCGAAACGCCTTTTCCTGCTCCAGGTTCCGCGGGAAGCCGTCCAGCAGAAAGGCCCCCTGTCCTCTCCTCATCTCCTCCTTGATCTTGTCTATCAAGAGCGAGACGATGACTTCGCCGGACACCAGCCCGCGCGTGCCACCCGAGCGCACGGCGTCGACGATGTCCGCCTGGTCCTTTAGGGGGCCTTGGATAAGATATCGGAGGTAGTCCCCGACGGAGAGGTGATGGAGGTTGTGGGCGGCTGCCAGCCGTTTACCTAACGTCCCTTTCCCGGATGCTGGTGGTCCTGGTGTAGAAGTGATCAGTCGAAAGTGGTACATGTACTCCTGCTCTGATTGCGGATTTCTGTTTACCTAGGACGAAGATTATGAAAGGCTTCTCAGTCATTTTGCCGGTAATTGTATGTCTCGTCAATTCGTCGTTGGCTAAGGCTGGAGACAGGTAGGATCGGTATCTAGGTAGTCATTTTGCCTCTCAGGTAAGCTCTTCCAATTAACAAACCACGTCACGTGTCTGATTGGTAATTGAATTTCTTCTGGGCGCTGGCTTGCATTGGATATGCATCGAACCACATGATTCACCCCCGCAAAGTGTGATAAGACCTTGTAAACAGCACATCGACGAAGCTTAATCTTCAAATGTTCTTCTTGTTCATTCTTCTTATATGTCCCTATTAAATACATACATATAGGTACCACTCCTCGCTCCTCGCTACACGACGAGCCAACAGTACCGCTACAATCACACTGTACAGTCTCTCCTGGAATCGACATCCACTTCAGCTCTCGAAACCATGTCGAACCCTCTGGCTGTGCTGGTACTGCTAGCTACTCTCTTGCTATCTATTGGCATCTATCTGTACACCTTCAGGCCTTCAACCCGCTCCTCTCTCAATGCCTCCGCTAAGCCCGCCGCCGCCGCCGCCGACGACATTATACCGGTCAGCGTGAACTATTTCTTCACGCGCCACTGTAATGCAGAATGCGGGTTTTGCTTCCACACCGAGACGTCCAGCTACAAGCTGCCGCTGGACAAGGCCTGCGAGGGCCTGCGTCTCCTCGCCAAAGATGGGATGGAGAAAGTCAACTTCGCCGGCGGCGAGCCCTTCCTGTACCCCAAGTACCTCGGCGAGCTGTGCAGGTACTGCAAAGAGGACCTGAAGTTGCCCAGCGTGAGTATCGTCAGCAACGGGACGAAGGTGACCGAGAAGTGGCTCAGGGAGTTTGGCCCCTTTGTCGATATCCTGGCCATCTCGTGTGACTCGATCAACCCAGAGACGAATGCTGCCATCGGCCGCGCCGATCGTGGCTCGGGAAAACCGTTCGATAATGTCGGGAAGCTTTTCGAGATCCGGGACTGGTGTATGCTGTATGGGGTCCGGTTCAAGCTCAATACTGTAAGTGATAGCCAGCTCAGCTTCTAAAGCGGGCCATCGCCGCCGTGGTTGCCACTGCTGACGTCGGATGACTAGGTCGTGTGCTCGCTTAATTGGAACGAGGACATGTCGGAGATGGTCGAGCAGCTCGGCCCCTTCAGATGGAAGGTCTTCCAAGTCCTGGTGGTGAAGGGCCAGAACGACGGAGACAAACGGAAGCGAGACGCAACCAAATTCATCGTCACAGACGAGCAGTACCAGGAGTTCTGTCGCAAACACGAACATCTGAAATGCATGATCCCCGAGCCGAATAGTTCCATGAAGAGTTCTTACTTGGTAAGTCGATCCGTATAGATCACCGCTGGGAAAAATGTTATGCGATAGGCGCTGACGGGGAAATAGCTCATTGATGAGTACATGAGATTCCTTGATAAGGGGGACGGAGAGGAGAAGGTGTCTGACTCTATTCTTGAGGTCGGAGTGCAGAAGGCTATCAAGCAAGTTCGCTGGGACCAGGAGGAATTCCGGAAGCGAGGGGGTGTGTATGACTGGTCTAAGCTCACTGAAACGACGGGAGGCTGCTCTGGGGCTGCAGCAATCAAGAATTTGGAATGGTAAGCGCTTTGGGTGATTTTGCTCAAGTCCTGCGATCCTGGATCTTCTATTGGAAGCGTAACCAGGCTTTTTATTTCGCCGCTTCTTTCTATACATGACGTCAAAGGGAAAGGGTTGTCGGGTCTAGTTGTTCCAAGTAAGGACGTATCAGATAGTTTAAAGCTTTGAATTGAAAGCTACGTGGAAACGAGGAAGCCTTATATCTACCTACACACTACCTACATGTCTACATGTGTCCCTCAGCACACGCGTATTATAATGTAATGCAGTATGGTGAATGTCACACCTAGAACTTTTTCCATCCAGACTTCGGTCAGCTCCTCGCTTCTCTTCGAAGCTGTACTACTACTACTACTACTATATTCCGCGTCCGGCCAATCTCCAATCTGCAAGCCGTCTCTCCTCACAGCAGCATGCAATATACAATCTTCAGCTCCCGTCGTCTCATCCGTCAATCTCGAGACACAAAATCCAGGGAGGGAGAACATAGAAGGATTACAAACCGATAAAAAATAAACAACAAACTGAACAGTCTTCTTCCCCTCTGCTAAGAGTACTCGTACCGACAAGCACTGCTAAATTAGCGTATACTCAGTCCCCGTTACGAAAGCCAACGAAAAAAAAAAAAAAAACGCTAATTTCATTCGATAAGTAAAAGAGCTTTAAACTAGGTCTACAAATTGGGCAATCTTGCGCGTAGAGGTGAGATAAAGACAGCTCTAGGATTTGTAGAGATTGGTCGTATATCCAGCTATATTTTTTCCTCCTTTGCATGGGGTGGATTCTGGGCTTGATTCGCTTCGATGTGCGCTATGACTGATACTGAGTGAGGTATTGAGAGAAATCAGCTTCATAGCTTCGCTCTTATTACAAGTCATGCAATTGCTATGAGAATCCTTTAAAATGTTGGTGTTTATAGCGAGGAGGAGTCACTGCAGGACTAGCGCCTTGGTGCTAACAAAGGCGCTAAGAGGTCCTTATAAGGCCTCTTCCCCTCTTCAGAAATCCTCAGCTTCTACCGACCTTACAACGTCGCAATCAGGTCTCAAAACCTCGTCTTTTTACTTCATTGCGATCTCACGATACCTCGTCTCTACCTTTCTGTCATCGATAATATTGCGACGCTCCCTAAAAGCTGAGTGCTCCTCCTACTCTTCCTTGGTCTGTCGTAGTAACCCTTTGGTCTCCAGTTTACAACAGCCTTTACATCGTGTACTTAATACTTTAGTCAAGGCCCGGCCCACAATTCAAATCTAGTCACTGATACTCTTCTTCATCTAGAACTTCAAACAGAGTTCAATCGTCTCAAACAGCTTACAATCGGCTTGCCAGCCTTACCACTCTACGAGCCTCAAGCGCATACATACACAGCCACAAGTCGCTTTGAAGGAGCAGGAGGTTCTCTGAGCAAGGCTTCCTACCCTAAAGAGGAGGTTTCCCTTGTTCGTAACGCAAATGCGAGAGAGATCGGAGTTGCTGGACTCACCACTTTGACGTGGCACAAGCGGCCTTTGCTAAGTCTCAACTCCCTTTCTTTTTCAGCCTCCCCCTCTCTCGGGTTACACGTCCATCTCAACCCTTTCCTATGTCAGCTTAGCTCGGCTTTATCCTTCTATCCACTTTCTGTTTGACCCACTGCAGCTCTCACTTCACTTCACTTCACTCAGCTTGCATATGGCCTCGGGCAAGGCCCTCATTCAGCTCTAGCTCAAGTAAGCTGTTTGAGAGCCGTGCTTGGAGCTGGATTTGCCGAATACAAAATTCTCTTTCTTTTCTAAAGTGCACGACGAGCAAGCAACAAACAGGCACTTTTATAGCTAAGCGGTAATGCGTTTGAAGCCGCCTCTCTTTATGAGGTAGCCGCCGAACACCAAGTCTGCTTGTCGCTTTTAAAAACTATAAGTTTCCGGATGATGGACGCATTTGACAGTGTGGGCGAGGATGCATATGCCGGGGATTCTTGATTGATAGTGCAAGGCTGATATTGAACACCGTGTTTGATATCGATATAACTTGGTTTTTTTCATTTTGATATTTCTGCAACCTGTGATAAATAAAGAAAGGGATCTGGTGAGCGCTTAGCAGTATCCACTGAGGAAACCGCTCTTGGTCTTTGGAATTTAGCTCACTTTTGGACTTGGGATTGAGACGGTGGTGATAGATGCGACTGCCGCTCTCCTAAGAATCGTGACAACGCAGCGACTTTGGAAGCTTCATGTGCAGCTGGAGAAAGAGGTAGCTTGAGATTGTTAGCACCAGAATTTGTTGTTGTTGTTGTATTTATCAACGTCGGGCGGGTGGCAGGCTTTGCCTGTCGCCCTGGGACCTCCAATAGGGTACGGCGACGTGCGAAGTAGAGGAATTATATAAAAAGTACTATCCAATCGAGAGTTAAAACCACATTGGGGAAAAGCTCTCTTTCAAATACCCCCCGGTCTCTAATTTCGCGGTATCGCATAACCTTTGGAACTCTCATGTTGTTGTTGTTGTTGTTGTTGTTGTTGTTGTTGTATTTATCAACGTCGGGCGGACTATAGGCGTAGCATGCGCTCTTCGTCCTGGGACCTCCCAAGGGGTACGGAGACGTGCAAAGCTAAGGGTTGTAACCCTCAAGTTGGCACAGCGCAGCTGCTATCGATCGTGCCCTTCCCTTACGGATAGAATGGATCGCAGAAAAGATACATCTTCGTCGGAAGAAAAACTTAAAGAGCAAGTTATAGCGTAAGTAACGTATACCGGTGTCGATATCGCTTGTCGAGATAATCGAGGCCGGACCGGAGTCAGCCAGATGGCCTTTTCGAAGGCGCAATATCGTAGATCGCCTTGAACCCTCTTCCTTCTTTCTCACCCCGTTCCTCTTTTATTGCAAATCCTTTTAGTATTCTTAATCGGTATGCTCGTCAGGAATAGATCGTAGTCGGCGTAATGGTCGAGGTAAGAGGAGGAGGCTCGTTCGCATCGCTGGTGAGGGGAAATCTTTTTGAAAGGCTACCTTGACTCAATTTCGGCTCTCCAGACTCTCTTTGCCGCAAGAAAAAGGGCTGAAGGTTCGTAAGGGGCACCTCGTACAGGTAAAGAATCCTAGCTCCCCTTGTTAGCACCAGAAGTAGATCTGCGATTGTGAATTATATCAGCTCAATACACACAATTGAATATCCATCGGACTCGTCAGAGCTTGTCGTCAATCCTCGTTGGTAGCGAGAAATTTTCATCCTGATGATTGGCATCACTTACTAGCGCCTTTCAGGATCAGATTTAACAGTTTCGTCACTTCTCAGTTGACCGCCAGCGTGCTTATCGTTGAGGCACTACTCGGCGCAAGCGAGTAAACAAACACAGGCTCGCTTATATAAGGGGGCTTCATCTGGGCTGGGTGGCGCTCATACTTACCAGAGCCAGCATTCCAGCAGCAGACGGACGATAAGGCAGGAGTGAGCGGCTCCAACGACCATCGCTTGGCAGCTGAGTCGAGTCCGACATAGACCTAGCCCCGACAAGAAAAACGACGTCTTCACAAAGGATCCGTGGGCCTTCGATTTCACGGACGATGACTCGGAATACTGGGTCGATTTGAATATCGATCTAAATCTGATGGACCAAGTTTCCAGTCCCCAGAGTTACTTCGTACGCGATACCAAAACATCCGCCCTTGGATCGGCGATGACGACTTCCATTACTCATCCATCCCTTGCCGAAAGAAAAAAAAAAAAAACTTTGAAGTGCGAAGTGCAACATAACTCAATCAAGCTTTTGTCTCTGCAGATCTGATAAATGCCATAAAATCCAATCAGAGATTTCACGGCTTGTTCTCGGCGTTGCGACTCGCCTCACTTGTAAGCAGTGTTTCGGTAAATGCCGGATGACAACTTTGTTCATACTCTACTACGGCGTAGTGGAGTTCTCATTTCGGCTGTGTGCACTCGGTATTGATAGGTCATCTAATGGCGACTCTGCGGGTTGCGTTGCTGTCGGATGTCTGACCCAGTCTTGCTCAGGTTCGTGTTGACCTATTCGAGATCTTTGAACATACATTTCTGTTCTGAGATTGATAAGTACATATATAAGTATAGATATATCGGGGTGCGGAACGTGGCCTCAACTTATTCGAGATCTATAGACAAAATATTACATGCAGCAGTATTTACTAATAAAGGTATGATATGACGTAAAGATCGTGAAATCGTCGAGGTGGTCGGCACAAACAGCCGACATTGGACAGCATCGGCTTTACCATCAGCAAACTCTCTATCCACTCTTGAAAAAAAAGCCAATACTGCTACATGCAACAGAATCCAAGATCATATTCGTTCTGTCTTGGTTAGCTATCCACTCCTACAAAAAAGCCAATAATGCTACATGCAACAGAATCCAAGCTCATATTCAGATTCTGTCTTAGTTGGCTATCCACTCCTAAAAAAAACAGCCAATAATGCTATACGCAACAGAATCCAAGCTGGTATTCAGATTATGTCTTGGTTGGCTATCCACTCCTAAATAAAAGCCAATAATGCTACATGCAACAGAATCCAAACTCATATTCAGATTCTGTCTTGGTTAGCTATCCACTCCTAAAGAAAGCCAATAATGCTACATGCAACAGAATCCAAGCTGGTATTCAGATTCTGTCTTGGTTGGCTATCCACTCCTAAAAAAAAGCCAATACTGCTACATGCAACAGAATTCATATTCATTCTGTCTTGGTTGGCTATCCACTCCTAGAAAAAAAGCCAATACTGCTACATGCAACAAAGTCCAAGCTCATAATCAGATTCTGTCTTGGTTGGTCCTTCACTACCAGAACTATATTCTCAGACGGGGCGCATTCCTGTCTCGGATGCAAGTCCCAACTCAATAAAGAAAAAGACAATTTTGCGAAATGCAACAAAACTTGAGAGTTTGCCATCTCCTAGTTGCGAATCATGCTTTTTTTTTAACCCGTCGAAAAGCGAAACAGATCCTGCGAAACCAAAAAAAAAAAAAAAAAAAGATCGGCTCTTCCGATC